TTTAGTATGACAGAAAACATAGAAGCGTTTGTGTCAATGAAGTGAAATTCCGGCGGATGGAATAAATTTGCGCAGAACATGATTTAATCTCGGGGTGGGACTGCGTTGACTCTTCTAAAGGTTTTGGGTTTATAAGGGACTGAGCAGGAGGGGTGACGTCCTAAACCAATGGAAACTTAGATTTTTTTTTTTTTGTTAAGGAGAAATTTTAATCCAAGAAAGAACGGAATGTCTCATTTTATTATCCTGCCCATTGTGAGCTATGAGTCACGGCGGACCGCCGCTCTGTACAGTTACAGGGTGGCGCATCTGAGGCTTTGCAGTCAGCCAAGTTGTGTTTTTTATTTAAGTATAAAAAAAAGAAAAGAAGAAGAGAGGCCGCCATTGTGATACACAATCCTATATAAGAAGGAGGAAGTCTTCATGGAAGGAACCGTTGGGATACTCTTAGGAAATCATCAAAGCTGAAGTTTATTCTACTTACATTTTGCCCTCTTTGGTTCACCCGTACTCCATCATCAATGCTAATAAAAAAATAATAAACCTTTTTCTGTTTTTATTACACACATTATTTTATATTATAGGGTGACAATGCTGCTGGCAGAATCATCAGGGGAAAATAAATGAAACAGGAAAAACGAATGCAGCCACCTCATATTTATGTTTTTGGGTTTAGCTACACTGTAATATTGTATTTTAGATGGTAAGCCCTCACGCCTTCTATTGTAAAGCGCTGCGCAAACTGTAGGTGCGATATACATCCTGTATAATAATTGTACTTAAGTCTGGTATGGATTTTGGGGGACCACATGTCGTCAGATTTTGCATACTTTTAAAAGGTGCCATCATAGAAATAAAGGCTTACACTGTATCTCTATATCCCTAGATACATAAAAGTACATAATATACACACACACACACAGACACACACACACACACACACACACACACACACACACACATATGATGCTATATATACACACACACTTGCTGATTCTGTTTTTTGCAGCAAACAAAATGAAATAAAGTTTAATTATTTCAGGGGGAGACGAGCGGCTGACTTATGATTTTCAGTACAATGTTATTATTTTTAATGACTGACGGAACAAGTAATCGGAGCGTTGGCCGTCCTGCTATAAATAGGCCGATTTCTTCATGTGAAAAGCGTTGGTTTCCTCTGTATATTGGACTGCTCCTTCTCAGCGCCGCTCCATGTAACGGGAGACGCTGGAGACAGCGCCAGGTCTGTGTAGACTCTCCTGAACGGCCCCTGTGTTTTGGAAGTATAATACCCGCCTGGCCCCCTTCTTGGTCTCTCTTATAACCTGCGGAGTGCCGCCATCTCCCGTAACATTGAACAGATGCCAGTAATGTCAGCGGCGAGACACTGGAGGCCTTGTGAGCCGGTTCACAGGACAGGGCCCGTCGTGTCCGCAGCTCCGGAGCAGGAATGCGGCCGGGTGAGGTAAGGCTTTTCTAAAATCTCAGAACCGCAAGGAGCGCAACAAAGCCAAGAGAACCTGTCACCGCACAAGCCTGGTGATATAGCCAAACCCCAATTGGATGTCATTTACTTTTCCAAAGTACTACGTATCAAACAATTGCTTTTTTTTAGGGCTGTGCAAATTAACGATTAATTTCTCGATTAATCGTTAATCTTTTTGATCGATTAAAATTTTTTTGATTGCTAATGAAAATACTCACCTCTCCGCCGGCTTCCAAGAGTCCCGTCGGAGATCCGGTGACGTCACGGACATCGACTTCACCGGACTCCTCCCCCTTCCCCAAGTGGCTCCGTCGGCTAACGAAGGGAAGGGGGGAGGAGCCCAGTGACGTCGATGTCGGTGACATCACCGGACTCCTCCCCCCTTCCCTTCGTTAGCCGACTGAGCCACTTGGGCCGGTGAGTTTGCCCAAGAAACTTTCTGCACGAGCGCCAGCCAAGGTATTGGCCTATACACATACAGCCCAGCAATGAAGTAATAAAATGAACTAGGATCACACTAATCCAGCACGTTATTATTCTGAGTTGCCCCACTCAAGCGGCGGCCATATTGAGTGGGGCACGTGAGATTAATAACGTGCTGGATTAGTGTGATCCTAGTTCATTTTATTACTTCATTGCTGTGCTGTATGTGTATAGGCCAATGTAGTTGGATCTGTATGTGCGTTATAATTAATCGAAATTAATCGATTAAAAAAAATTTCGATTAATCGAACACGAAAATTTTAATCAGTAACAGCCCTACTTTTTTTTCAATAAATTGCAGTTTTCAAGTCGCAGATCTGCTTGTGTTTTTTTCCCTTTGTATTAAAAAAGCTTTATAGCAATTTGAATATGTTGACAAAACCAAATTAAATTACATAGCTCTCCGCCCTTCTCCGTTTTCCTGGTGACATCACCACCTTGGGGAGGGGGAGCGGGAGTAAGAGCATTTTTCAGAGCTGTAAGCATGCGCTATAAGGGGAGGAGCAGACATTCATGCATTGTAATGAGGCGGCAAAGCTTCCGGGTGCCGACAATGCTTGGGGGGGAATCAGTCATTTCAATATTGGCCCAGCAGTGGAAATCAAGCAATACCCGGGAAATGGTAAGATCTCCAGGTAATTTACGCAAAAATGAGCATACCAGGAATGGACATATATGGTGACCTTTTAATTTTTGCTTGGAGAGACACTTTGGGTATGAATTATGAATCATCCGCCCCAATATACGCGGCCAAATGCCATTAATACGCCATTTTTGCCACTAGATGGAGCCGAGGAGCATAGCAAATTCCTATGCCCCTCGGCTCCATCTAGTGGCAAGGATGTTGTGTGAATGCCATACGGCCAGCATATGTCGGGGTAGATTTAGACATCATCCCTCTTATGTGGCCTACATTACAAACTATGTCAGGGCACAGGGACTGGTGTATATGGTTCTATTTTCTTTTGATATCACTGCATAATATGTAGACAATGCATATGTACAGGAAATCAAGAATACATAAATGCCATCAGTATACATAAGTTCTCGCTCAGTGGACTGATTGGCTATTCTAGGTGAATAAACATTTGGACTTCTTCGCTATTCTTTGTCTAGAGAAATAATCTGCCAACGCCACAGCTGAGCAAGAAGAGAATCACATATACAGAATAAATAAAGGTGAACAACGGGCAACGAATGGACTCCGTATGAAAAAAAAACAAACAATGTTTTTGTTGAAGCCCCTCGAAGATTTAAGAAACACAGTTTGACGCCCTGTATACTGAAATAGGAAAGGCAATATACTGCACATAATACATATTTTGTGTAGTTTATGTACAAAGTGTCATCTTCCAATGAACAGAAAGGGAAACTCTGCACATACACAAGCAACTGTTTCGATATTTTAGATGCACGTGGAAACAAAGTCATCAATACACAGCGGAGGAAGATATTCTGAAGGTTTGACTAAAACCAACCAAGCCTATTGGTCAAGCAGCAGCTAGCCACTTCAGTGTCCAAACAGAGCGCACTCCAAGGATCTCCAATAACAATCCAAACTTTAATAAAATCCCCGATGAAATGTCAATATATGGATATACACCAACACCGCAAACCTCCATTACACCAAAATCCTCGAACGCATTTCACTGATAGGCTTATTCATTATTATTATACAGCATTTATATAGCGCCAACAGTTTGCGCAGCGCTTTACAATATAAGGAAGGCATTACAATCACAATACAAATCAAGACCAAATGGGTAGGAGGGCCCTGACTGTGAGAGCTTACAATCTAAAAGGGAGGGGCCAGTGATACATGAGGAGGTAGCTGTGTGGGGATGAATTGTTTGAGAACGTGATGGTTCAGTGGTTAGGTTGAGGTGGGATAGGCTTCCCTGAAGAGATGAGTCTTAAGCGATCGCCTAAAGGCAGTCAGAGTGGGACATAGATGGACAGGTTGGGGTAAAGAGTTTTAGAGGATGGGAGAGACTCTAGTGAAGTCCTGGAGGCGAGCATGGGAGGAGTTGATGAGGGAGCTGGAAAGCAGGAGGTCTTTTGAAGAGCGGAGGGGACAGTTATTCATAGAGGTTAGAGCTAGTCATGTCATGGTGGCATGTGCCCATTGGTTCAATGAGTGGGTGGCTAGTACCAAAATGGCCATGACCTTCTTAATGACCATTATCAATAGACCTATATGAACCAGTTTTTCCTTTCACTCTCCCATAACGCACCACAGGCCTTAATGGGAGAAGCTTATTGGCTGATATGAGCAACTAGGACTGTCCTTCCTTCAGGCATCACTTCAGGAGATCTGATGAGTTTTCCCAAATATGACTCCCGCCTGTTATAACGATAGGCTTATTCATAGAGGATAGAGCTAGCCATGTTATGGTGACATGTGCCCATTGGTTCAATCAGTTGGTGGTTTAATACCAAAATGGCCGTGACCATCTTAATGACCATTATCAATAGACATATATGAACCAATTTCTCCTTTCACTCTCCCATAACCCATCACAGGCATGACTAGTAGAATCTTATTGGCTGCTATGAGCAACTAGGACCGTCCTTCCTTCAGACATCACTTCAGGAGATCTGATGAGTTTTCCCAAATATGACTCCCGCCTGTCTGACTCATGTGCTTGATAAATACTCCATAAAAAAAACACACGGACTGCGCTAAACCAAACAGATGACTCTATGTCTGACTATTATGGATGGGATACGCTGCATTAAACATTAAGAATGAGGTGGAGAGGTCACGTGTGCCTTCGGTCGTCTTTTAAATGCTTTGATGACTGAAGTGGATGCTCTTACGACTTGCTGCGCGAACATACGGAGAATGAAAACTGCGATACCGCTGAACCGTGATGACTTGGAAAGTACAGCGACACCAAAATCTGATTTTACTTCATGGACGTCAGACATCAAAAAGATGATTTCCCATTGGCTGGAATGGGCAGCGGCGGTTTGCAGCTTATCGAAAATCAACTTTCTGCATCGTTTAGGTCTAAAGAAAAGTCCTTACCTTGGCTTCACATTTGCGGTGACATGACAGACGACAAACTGAAAGGAGAAAAAGAGAAATCGGTTTTCAATTAAAAAGAAGAAACATTCCCCAATGAAAAAGAGCAAAATGACGGCTACACAATAATATGCATGAAAAATGTACATGATGACTGGTACCGTGTGCACTGCATGGAAGGATGGAATCCCCGACAGCGAGCATCCTTACACCCCAAGACTTTATAATCTGTATCATATTTAAAATGTATCTAAAGCCAAAACTTTAAGTTATTAGATAGTGTAGGGAAAGGTACTTAGGTACTCAGACTCAGGTACTTACACTGCTGGAGCCCGGGGAAAAAGAGGCTGCGGGTCTAGAAGCCCGGCTGGACCCAAGGTAGCCCCACTGCAAGGTTACGTTTTTTAATTATCCTAAACTATATATCCTATGTATGTGTATCCTACGATATGTATATCCTAAACTTTAGATATACTTGTTTAAGCAGATGCACAATTTCTCCCACACCACCCACGAGTCTCTGAGAGCTTAGGATAAGATACTGATATATATTTAATCCTATAGTTAGCTTACTGTCCTCTCATCCACTACCACAATGTCTGCTAGCTGCTTGCTGAGCAGTATAAAAATTAAGCCTGGTTCACACCTGTACGTTTTGTAGCGCGTTCAACGCTCTACGAACGCTCTACAAAACGCTCAAACATGAAAATCCCATTGCTTTCTATGCGTATGGTTCACACCTTGCCGTATTTCAGCCCGTCTGAAAGGTACAGGAGCTTCTTTGCGGCGTTTTTGTCGCGCATTTCCATTGGGATACAGCCAAGTAGCCCTCGGAAACACGCGTTTGTCGCGCGTTGTTTTACCGCGAATCGCGCGACAATTGCGCATATTCGCTTCGCCTAGGTGTGAACAGAGTGTAAGACACTGTCTGTCCAAGCTTCCTCCCCTCCTGTAGGGTGACGTCATACTAGCAGACTACCAGGTAGTATTATGAAGGATTTCTACAGTATAGCGCCAACAGTTTGCGCAGCGCTTTACAATATGAGGAAGATATTACAATCACAATACAATTCAAGACAAGATGGTAAGACGGGCCCTGCCCCGGAGGGCTTACAATCTGAAAGGTATGCAGGAGGGGGATGAAGCTTTGCAGAGATTGACACTCGACTGCCCCACTGCTTCCAAGGCATGGGTGGAGGAGAGTTAAATTGGGCGAAATCTTCTGAAACGTAATCCTTGGGTGGCCCTGCCGGCTTAACCAAAGTTGAACTTTTAATTGGCTTTTGTCGAAGCTGCTGGGTGGAAGATTACTGGCCAAACACTGACTGCAGCCAATCAGGTGGAGCCACTGTTCGGGTATTCTGACAGCAGTGGGTGCCAGTTGTCAGAAGAAAATAGCTGGCAGGGGAGATTCCCCCAGCCACACTCTTTAGATGAGAAATACCTTTAGGTTTACATACAGCTAAAGGAGAGGAGGGAGGAGTTGAAGAACAAATTAGACATATTGTATGTATGTCACTAGAAGCCAGGGTTTGCTCGATAAGAAGGAAGAATAGGCAGCCATGTTGAGCAATTCAGCAGGAGGGGGGGATGCAAAAAAGGCAAAGCATGCAATCTATGCTGCTGACATAATTCACAGCACATGGGAAGGTGGGTGCACTTTAGCTTTCTCGTTGCCTTGGGTGCTAAAGGACCCTTGTCCCGGCACTGACAGAACCGAACCTTTCTCATCACCCCCGGGACACTCTCAATGAACAGAGGATGGCAGTGGGCGGAGCTTAGCCTTAGAGACATAAAAGTGGATCAACAAAGAGAAAATAGTTTCAGAGAGGCACACAGAGGAATGTTCTCTTTCATTCTAAAACGTTAATGTGCGAATTACAATAAATCCCGGGAAATAAAAAAAATCCATCCTGGAACGTAAATCCAGGAACGGCCATCTTCATACATTTTGTTCCTCACACAGCTCAGATCAAATCCTCCGTATCCAGATGACAGCGGAATGAGCTGCAAAGTTTCTACCTGATGTATTCCAATGACAGTTCTGCTTTCTCAGGAATCCGAAATTCTCTTGGCAGTCGCTCAATATCTCCCCACTGAACATTAGTTCCAGTAACATGATAATCCCAAATTCTTGTTCAGTCTGAGTCTATATAGAGGCAGGACCAGACAGACCACCTACCTACCCTGCCGGATGGGGGTACCCAGATACTGAGGTACCCCCAAAACAGACAGACCACCTACCTACCCTGCCTGATGGGGGTACCCAGATACTGAGGTACCCCCAAAAAAGACCACCTACCTACCATGCCTGATGGGGGTACCCAGATACTGAGGTCCGGCACCACTACAGACCCCTATAAAGCTGAACTCCGGGATAAGCAAATATTGTCCTCATACTCATAGGGTGAGGGAGATTCACCCCTCTATGAATTGTCCTGGTGACTGTTATCACTGAAAGTGAAAGAAAAACCCACATTTTTGGTTGTCACCAGGAGAGGAATAGATGACCTTCCAATGGGTTCTGGTTACCACCAGGGATTTCCTGCTCTTCCTGTTGTGACTATCGGACAGGAAATGAAGCAGAAATCCCCCCAATGGCAAAACAAAAGCTGTTATAACCATTCCTTACTCTATCCAAAACTAAAAAAAAGGTTTTGGCTTCAGTTCTACAGTTTATTTCTCTTTAAGTGACACGAAAGCCAGGAGTTAAATCTTAAAATACATTAAATGTATTAAAAATCCATTCAGGTACCTTAACTATTAACAACAATGAGGGGAATTTATCAAAACCAGAGCAGACAAAATCTGGACCATCTGCACATGGCAACCAATAACCTCCCCCCTTTATTTTCAAACCTTGACTGAAGTGAAGAGGGAAGCAGATTGGTTGCCATGGGCAACTGCTCCAGATTTTGTAAGCTCCAGTTTTGATAAATCCCCCTTAATGTATCTTATTTGTGTATCGCTTGGCTGTAGATGCTCCAATCTCTGAATGGGTGCTGACACTGTCCTTCCTTCTGGAGGGGGGCTACTTGTGTTCCCCAAGGTCCCTGTGTGTGTTGTAAAGTAGTCACAGCTCCAAGCTCACTTCTGTGATGGACTACAATCTCAATACACATTAGTAATCTAGACATCCGTTTGTAGTCCATTACAAGAGTGAGCTTGGAGCGGTGACTACTTTACAACACACACAGGGACCATGGGGAACACAAGTAGCCCCCCCTCCAGAAGGAAGGACAGTGTCAGCACCAATTCAGAGATGATTGGACGATCTACAGCCAAGTGATGGAAGGCGCCGACATACAGTTCCCGGGGCCGCCATCAATAAATATTCTCTAAGGGCTCAGCACTAAAATGTTTCAGGAATGTTATTAGAATGGCAAAAGCAAAATATAAAATGCTATTAAAAAAAAAAAGGAAAAAATATATAAAATGTAACAAATACCGGTAAGTAGCAAAAAAATTAATGCTATTTTTTTTAAATTCTGTTTTAAAGCAATATTTGAGTTATCAACTTGATCCTGAACCCCCTACACCCCCCTCTACCCTCCTCCACCCTCCCCACCAAAATAAAAATGGTGTTTTATTGGCGCCACCCAATCCTGTTTCAAACTTTCAACATCTAATGAAAACACAGTCCGGGGAGCGTCGGAGGATTTTCCACGAAAGTCCCAATAATTGCGGTCTCCCCGGTACAATCCAGTCATTGTGCCCGCCGTGCTCTGTGCACCTGGCCGAACGCGGGGAGATTTAGCACAGGAAGTAACACGTTTGGGTTAGGTTGGGCTCTGCTCGCCTTTCATGACAGGCCGGGGCTCTGCGGCAAATAGACCCCCCCTTCCCCAGCACACAAGCTGCAGAGCGGGCGCCAGCAATTTCAGGGGTACCTTGTACGCGGCATTACAGAACTTCCTGCAATTTCAGAAAATAGCCCGAGAACAGACGCAGCAATTCATGGGACAGCTTGTTACCTTGTTCCACCGGGTTATTGGAGGGGATAACTACACCTTGGTGGGGGGATCGGAATTACATCTTAAAGGGAAACACACATTCAAATCCCTAGTAATGCATCAAATGAAACTGAATGCAGTGTTATTCATTTTAAATAGCATCTCCCCATGCAACTCGCACTGATGTGGACCGTAGAAAAAATTACATCTGTTAAAATGTCCATTGCGCTGCATTATCTTCTATCTGACCTCCGTACTCCCCTTCAGCCTTCTATCTCTCCTCCGTCCTCCCCTTCAGTCTTCTATCTGACCTCCGTCCTTCCCTTCAGTCTTCTATCTGTTATCTGTCCTCTGTCCTCCTCTTCAGTCTTCTATCTGACCTCCGTCCTTCCCTTCAGCCTTCCATCTGACCGCCGTCCTCCCCTTCAGTCTTCTATCTGACGTCCGTCCTTCCCTTCAGTCTTCTATCTGTTATCTGTCCTCTGTCCTCCTCTTCAGTCTCCTATCTGACCTCCGTCCTTCCCTTCAGTCTCATATCTGACCTCCGTCCTCCCCTTCAGTCTCATATCTGACCTCCGTCCTCCCCTTCAGTCTCATATCTGACCTCCGTCCTCCCCTTCAGTCTCATATCTGACCTCCGTCCTCCCCTTCAGTCTCATATCTGACCTCCGTCCTCCCCTTCAGTCTCATATCTGACCTCCGTCCTCCCCTTCAGTCTCATATCTGACCTCCGTCCTCCCCTTCAGTCTCATATCTGACCTCCGTCCTCCCCTTCAGTCTCATATCTGACCTCCGTCCTCCCCTTCAGTCTCATATCTGACCTCCGTCCTCCCCTTCAGTCTCATATCTGACCTCCGTCCTCCCCTTCAGTCTCATATCTGACCTCCGTCCTCCCCTTCAGTCTCATATCTGACCTCCGTCCTCCCCTTCAGTCTCATATCTGACCTCCGTCCTCCCCTTCAGTCTCATATCTGACCTCCGTCCTCCCCTTCAGTCTCATATCTGACCTCCGTCCTCCCCTTCAGTCTCATATCTGACCTCCGTCCTCCCCTTCAGTCTCATATCTGACCTCCGTCCTCCCCTTCAGT